GACGAATACAACTAGTGATAGGACGAATTTTATTCCGTGTCGAGATTCGAACCCGAATTTAGAGATTCGGAAACGTTGGAATAATTGACCGAATCTTCTAGCGATTCGGACGGCTTGGATAGATTTGGAACATTGCCAGACCAACACCACACCGACCGAACCCTTCGATGAATCCCTTGCTTAAAGGACCCATGAAACGAATTTTGGGCTGGAGTAAATCAATTTATATTGGGATTTTACTAATAGCACATCGTTCAGTGGGCCAAAAGAACAAAGGTAGAAAGTAAGAAGCCTGACTTTCGCTACAAAAATTTGCAAAACATAGCGGACTATTTCGTACCTCCTTCCCTTCGTAAACTCTCCGCCTTCTCACTGTGATACATCCGCGGACCCCGCAGCGCGTCACCGGGCTACTAGCCACCATAACCGGGCCCCCGCAGCGCGTCACCAGGGCCCAAGCGCACGTCACACGACACCGGACCTCACTTAATCCCTTTACCCCTAAGCTGACATTGCGGTGGAAGCTACGCGCTTGCCGGACCAATCAGCCGCCTCCCTTTCATCACCTGACCTCATTCTCTGCGGGTCGGTATGCGCGAGAGAGCGTGATCACGTGGAAAATGTGTGGCTGGCCCAACGAGCACGTAGCTTCCACAGCACTGTCAGCTTCGGGGTGAACGGGGTGGGGAAAGCAACTAGTCGGATTTTTGAGCGACGGGCTAATCTTCTAGGGGGACAATAGCTGTGATCGGCTACACATCGAGATTCCCAGCAAGACGGGACTCCCCCCTTTCCGACCTCTTGGACTGTTTGGTACAATGCGCGATTTATGAGTTGAGGAGGAAAGCTAAACAGAAAAAAGTTGAAAAAGCGTTTCATGACTCCTTTAAGATATTTATTATACGTGTATCATGGACGACACATGACATTAGGGATTAGGCTTCCATATTACGTTCGAAATCCGTATCATGCGAAAGGTTGAAGTGTATGAAATAAGTATTCAATCCTAATTCCTGACCAAAATGTTGGTGCGTTAGCTAAGCCTTACTCGTATGCGTTCCCGAAGCACGAAGACCCTCGCGAATCGCGCTCGACACCAAATGCGGAGATTAAAGCTTGTAGGTACGCACCATGTGCATGGAACAAAGCGACGAGCTATCCGTTTCTCTTCAGTAACGCCGTAAATAAACCACAACTGATTTATACTCGCGAACGATGCAAGACCAACGACCAGTGACGACCGAACCTCCGAATCTTCCGAAAATTCGTCCCGAAAAGTTCGCAAACTTCCGAATCAGCCCAAATTCGAATCTCCCTGCGATACGCGCTGCCACCTATTGCGCTTTGCAAACACGACTCCTACTGCGTTTCTGAAACGTGCTACCAGATGGCGACTGCTGTAGTTCTTGGTTTCTTTGTTCGCATTGGACTCATTTGATACACCGCGGCCGTCGTACTTTCTTTCGTCACCACGTTTATTTTTGTTCTAGCTCCAACCTATCAGGGGGCACAAAACGTGCATGGGCGCAATGCTTTACTCGCTTTACTCTGGTCGTGGCGTGACCGAATCAACCGAATGTCCAGCATGCGCTGGCACGCACACTATCTGATTATTGGCAGAAGAAGACGAGGGCCGTCTTCTTCTTTTGACATTACACTGTATTTGACATGTTATGTAGGACATAACAATATCACAAACCTGTCGGGATTGGAGTTCGGTCAGGTTCGGTTTTTGCGAACTTCTATTGCAAAGTTCAACAGAAGTTCGACTGGACTTCGACTTTTGTACGCATGCGGCATGCGTGAGAGTTGAAAACGAGCTGACGCTACCCGGCTGTGGAAAAGTGATATATTTGTCGCTTTTCTTACTAGAATCTAAAAACGATCTAGACTATAAATTCTTTGATACCCCTAAAATGAGAAATTTTTGTGTAGAAGTCGGGCAACACACTCCCTAAGTTGAACTTCATCAAACTTTACTAAAGGTTCGATTGCTCGACAAAAGTTCGCAACGTTCCTACTGTTGGATGTGCGGTTCTGCTTGTATAAATGAATTATGTCGCCATTAAGATGTCGGGTTCAACTAGTACAGTGGTTAACGGATCGGTTTACGCTGGTAGTGTTGCAGAACTGTCCTCCAAAGGCAGTAGCATATCTGGTATGGTGGCTCTGTGCCTTACCACCAGCACAAAATGGCAAGCTTAGTGACGTCACATGAGTATGTGGTCGTAGCTTATTGTCCTCGGGGCTCTTCAGTATATTTCCTGCCTTTCCGTCACTCCTACTGCCGGTGACGTCACAAACACGTACCTGTACAAAACAGGAATGTTCGGCTGAATAAAAAAAAAAATTATTTCCTTATCCAATATTTACTTCGCTGCTTTCTAAGACTGCATCAAAAGAAAAAAATAAGTGCTATTTCCGAAAGAGAAATTGCAAATGCGTTCCACATTTACTGCGCCCGTATTCGCCGGAACGTGAAATACAAAATTTGAAGCGTACCTTGGCGCGCACGAGCGTCATATCCTTAAAATGAACCGGAAAAAAATTTCAGTCAAAGATGTACGACTATGCTGTTCCATTTTACCTCGTAAAAGTTCAAGCTGAGCACTGTTCCTGTAAGACATGAGAACATTTGTAAAAATTCGAACGCTCACGCAGAGGACTGATGGGCCGGACAGTCGAGTTAAGTTCTTCCATCGACAGAGAAAGCGCGCCCTGTCGTATTTCGAATATCGTACGATGGCATCTGTCGATCCAGTCGATCATATTGAAGATAATCTTCGTGTACCTCCCTGATTAACTGATCCACTTAACTTTAGAAGGTATTAACTTTGGAAAATAACTTCCGTCTACAGTTAATCCCACACGGTGATCCTATCGACGGTATTCAACGTAATGAAAGCAAACTCTATCGTGAAAACCTGCCGCAGAAGACGCGTCGCTTACCTGTGCCGTCTGCTTTGAAACACACGTTGCGCCACGTCTTAATAGAGGAACTAAACGTACAACAAACATGGCTGTCAGGGTGTCGGTCCTTGACCTTCGAGAGACTGCCGGAGTACAAAGTTCTACGCACGCGCTTTTTAAAAAGCGCGGCTTACTGAGGATTGTGTGCTCGGTGTTCATGCCCTGAGCCACAGCGCACTAGTGCAGAGGGCTCCGAACCCCGGCCCGCGGGCCAGATCCGGCCTGCAGAGGCGCCTACCCGAGGATGGACACGGCCTTTTTATTGACACAAACGCAAAAAATTAACGCGCGTAACACAAAAAAAAAAAATAATAAAAAGGCAGCGTGACGCACTTAACGATCGCGAACAATGATATCCGAAAGAATAAGAGAAAACAGTATCAAAACGCGGGATCTCTCGCCATAATATTTACTGTACATTGTCATCCCCAGCATTATTGTTCGTAATTTCCTGCTTCGTGTCCGTGCAGCAACAATACAGTTCTTAGCGTTCCCATGAATATCAGACTTAGCGTTCCCATGAATATCAGCACCGTCCCCCCTCCCCCCTTTCCCGCTCTTCCGAAATTCAGCCAACCCTATAATATACAGATGCATCTTGGCAGCCGCTTATGGTCAAAGCATCCAACGGGTCATGACATCACGAGTCAAAACATTCATTAGGTCACGTGACACGAGAGTCAAAACATCCAACGCGTCAAGACATCCATCCGAGTCGAAACATCCATAGAGTCAAAACATCCAACGTGTCAAGACATCCATCCGAGTCAGAACATCCATAGAGTCAAAACGTCCATCGAGTCAGAACATCCATCCGCAAGCTTGAAAGCCCGGGACCTTGAAAAGTTGGAAGATATATTTATTATTTTTGTTGAGTTGAGTCATACTTGAATAGGGTCAGCTGAACAATTACAAATTTGAAAAACCGTGAGAGGAAAAGACATACACACCGCTGCGGCGCGGCGGTGTATTTGTTCAGCTGATCCTATTCAAGTATGTATCAACTAGCTTAAGTAAAACCTGGAGTTGACTCACTCCTGTGCACATAGCTATCATATCGTTTTAGCCTTTCTCTATAAGGTTGTATGCGTGGTGTATGCCTAGTGTTATAAATTGGGCGCATTATTTTTTTTTCTTGTACTTAAGTGCCTCATACAAAGTCTTCGGTCGTTTTGAGGCACAATGAACTAAATAAATAAATAACTTATAAGATACCGCTTGTACTTTGCGATGACGGTTCCGGGAAGGATACAATTCGCCTTCGCCAGGGACCTGCGCGTTGCTCGGCCACAGGTACCTCCACTGGACGCTTCCGGAGGGGAGCAATTTGCCCAAGCCGCAAGCTGTTCAGAACAGCTTCTGGCTTTCAAACATAGTCTCCAAAGACATCTGAGTTTGAGATCGATGGACCACGCACCACCAACATGGTGGAAGGGTGGCATAACAGACGGCACAGCCAACTGATGGCTCATCATCCAGACCCTGGTGAATTCATACAGTTCCTGCAAGTTGTCTAGCGTTCCTCGCAAAACAGGATCCAGGCCCTCCTCTTGGATGCCCTCGCGGGATGTCTGCACCGGCGGTTTAAGGGACCAGACGTAACAAGCTGCTGCAAGAGGAGATGGCTATGTTTTCGTGCTACTTGGCGAATGCAGTTCCGACATTTCAAGATGTTCTCAACTACGTTGACAGGATTTCAATGATTGGAGTCCTTCCATAGAACGAACTGACTAGTACGTGAGCCGGATTGCCTACAAATTTGTAATTTTTATTGATGTATGCTTGTGCACACAATAAACTGTTTTGAATGCATCGGGCAATACTGGCGTTTTATTCAACGACCTTTCGTAAATATCATGGCGTCGCATCTCGGAGTGAAAGCCCGTTAACCCCTTGGTCTGCAGTGCGGTGGAAGCCAAAGAACAATAGAAGGCAACGAAGGTGCGCAGGAAACTGGTCATCCGAAGGAGATGCCCCACGCTTCTTGCCCTATCGGGGCATGACCGCACGGGCTTGGATGGGGCAATCAGTGAATACAACTATGGTTTTTATCGTCGTTTATCAGCCGGAAATGTGAAGGTTTAATGCAGGTTAGCGAGCATGTTTGAGCCGAGGAAGGAATCCAAGGTGCCGCGTCCCTTTTCCTTGTACCGTGTTACAACCGCCCTCTAATCCTCGAGGGCAGCCCACGACGTGAATAAGCGCCTTGGTTGTCGCGGAGGACATCGTATCCATCAAATGGCGAGCGAGATAGCGTACGACAGCGCGATCATGATGCCGCAGCTGGCGACCACGTCCAAGGCTCCAGTGGCCACCCTGCGCACCATGGAGTCTTCCGGGGCCGTCTGCGGCGTCAGGGGCGACGCGACGCGAGCCGGGGAACCCAAGATGGCGTCGCGCGCTCCAGCCCACGCGTGCGGTCCCTCCAGTCTGAACTGGTAGGACAGGCAGGGCCCGGCGAAGCAGCGCCTGAACAGGGCTGGGTCCTTGAGGGCCATCAGGCTCAGGTTGGGCTTGACTCCGATTAGGCTGGCCAATTCGTCCATGTAGGCGATCCAGTGGACCTGAAATGGACGCGTGGTTAATCGTTATGCGTATACTGGAGGTTGATAAAGATGAAGAATACCTACAAGTGTGTCAGATAAAGGGTAAGAAGAATATTTGCCATAATTTCGGCAAGGTTGCTAATCGAGGGCCTGCAGCGGGAAAAACGTTTCCACTCTACATTTTGAGGTTTCGTCAGGCCTTATTTTCAGATTGGTGCTATGGTGTAATAATAAATTACTTTCTTTTTTGTAATCCTCTTCAATCCTTTTCTTTAATGGTCACTTTCAGGGGTCAATCATCACTTTCCGGGGTAATAACTTTAAGGCAACTCTTTACTTGGACGGATTTATTATCTTCAGTGCGAAACATCGTAGCGAAGCGTCGGCTGCAACTTTTCACCTTCCAGGTCCAGGAGGCTCCTTCCAATTTTCGCCTGCCAGCTTTACTTGCTTGTGCCATGTCCAGTGTGATTTTAAAGGGGCGGTGCAATGATATTCAATTGGAATTTTCACTTTACACGAGCTTACTGCCACTAGTGGGACTCGAGGATACTCGCACGCAACGCCACTGGCCGAGAAACTCCTCTGTTACGGTGTAATTTCAAAGACAAAAGGGAGCGTTGTCATTCAATCTCTCCTTCGCAAAGCTTGATGACGTAAATAGGGGATCGCAGTATCCTCCAGTGACGATATTTGAATGCGGCCCATACACTGGACCCGACTATTGCGTGGGCACTCGATTTGGGCCCGTGCTAACCGATAGCTCGAGAAGCATGTGGGTGGTGGCAAGTGTCCAATGGCTGCAATGACGACAATAGCCGAACCATAACAATGTCTGGAACTCAGCGCGTGTCCTGTGCCTTGCCAACCCCACCGCGTGTCTATAATCAACACTGGCGGCATATAATCGGCTCCAGATCACGTGCCCGATTGTTCTGGCTTTGAGTTGAGGGAGCGAACGCTGCTCGTTTTTCTCTAATTTATTTTTTTTTTTGCGACTTTTGCGAGGAAGAAAATGAACGGGTATTTTATAGGTTATAAACGCCAGGGAATCATTCTAAGCGGTATTTACAAAGAAAAAAAAAAAACATTGTTGCGCCGCCCCTTCCATGTTTGAGGCTGAGGTCCACTCAACCTCAAACATGAGCTCGAGGTTGAGTTGATCTCAGCGTGGTCAAAATAAGTCTCATGTAAAGTAAAAAAAATATATATAATACACCGTTTTTGTTTTTCCAATCTTCAATTTATTGCATGCACGTATATTTTTTTTAATGAGGCCATACATTTATTAACTCATCCAATTTGCGCAAGAGGAGAAAATGAATGTTAACAATTCCGCGCATTCGTTATGAATTAGTCGCTCTTCCGCTAAACAGTGGCCGAGGGGGGCTAGCGCACACCAGCTCGGAGCACGTGGAGCGAAAGCACGCGCTGCAGAACCCAGGGATTCTGGGTTCGATCCCCACCCTATGCCCTTTTCGATCTGGATGAGCATCGTACCGGCGTGCGGTCGTGTATCACTACTGCGTGGTGCACGTTAAAGACCCCTGTCTAGCGGTTGTACTGCACCGGCTATATTGCTCATCAACACCTAGGAAACAAGGGCTTGGGGCCAACACATCCATCGCACCATTGCATCAATCGTGCAGTTACGACCAATTTTGTGCATTTAGATCCATCGTGTCCGTACATTCATAGTTCCAGTACATCCATCGTGCCACTACATCCAATTTTGGCCAGTTCATTCAACGAGCCACTGCATCCATCATGCCGTTACATGCATCGTGCCATCACATCCACCGCGCCATCAAATCCATCGAGCAGCTTCTTCCAACGACATGCCATTTCATCTATCAATCACGCAGGTTTATTTCTTCGTTTAACTATGCTGCATAAGTGTTCACATTATTTTGAAGAGTCATAAGCTGAATTGAATGCACAAAATCGAAAAGGGCCCTTTGTGCGACATGCATCTTCTGCGGCCCTCGGCGTCTCCAAAGTCGAAGACGCATCGTCAGCTTTTTTGCTGCTTTTTTCGCCCTCAAAATTAGCTATATATAAACTTTATTATAAAATTAGGATGGTACACACAATCACACCACTTATTTCTCTTTGAGAAAAAAAAATCTGAATGTCTTACAGAATTTAATTGTGATATACTAACGTTCTGGGGATTACCGTTTGTTCCTTGTTGCTCCCGAACCAATGGGGATAGCAAGACGTCTGCTTCTTGCGCAGGGGTTGCTGTGACGTCAGCAAGACGCCGACCTTTGATTGGCTCTGAATGAAGGATACTGGGTGGACCTCAAAGCAAGCTGCCTTGAGGTCTACCCACTATCTTTTATTCAGAACCAGTCAGAGCTCGGCGTTCTGACGTCACCACAACCCCTGCAAAAGAAGTATGCGAACTTGCTCTCCGCGTAAGAATGCGATAATGCAAAAAGCCCAATGGTGGCTATCTTGGCTTCTATGGATGCGCTAGCACGACGGATGTAATGGCACGTGAGGTGTCATGACAGGGAGGACGAGCAATTACGTCCATCGAGAAACTACATCCAACGAGCAACTACATCCAACGGGCAACTACATTCATCGAGCAGCTGCATCCATACACATGTCAACACATCCAACGAGCTAGTATATCCACCGTGCCATTACATCCATCGATGGATGTAATGGCTCGGTGGATGTGGTGGCTCGACGGGGGACTTGTCTCGATTCCATCGAGACAAGTCGCCCCGTGAGTCAGGCTAAGTTCAAGGCTGTATAAACATACACGCACCCATAGCCTCCCCTGTACCGACAAAGCCTGGCAGATCGCCACGAGACGCGGCCGCCAAAAGTGAACAGGTAGTGCGGTAGAGAGCGGATGAAAGAAGAGGCATGTAACGGGCGCCCCGCTGCGGCGAGACGCCAAAACACAGTTGTTCCAAGCGATGGAATGTACGCTCGTGCTCCACGCGTTCTTCGTGCGACCGCTTCTTTTCTCGTCGGGTTTGAAAACCATGTTTCGGGTCTTCGTCGCCGCAGAAGCTGTGCGCTGAATACCAGAAATCCTCTCTGCTACCAGATCCTCGCGCTCCAAGTCTGCGACCGGGAACTCTATGACTCCGTCGTCGAACTGTAGGGCTTTGTGAGATATAAAAAAAACTATAACACACTTTCTTTTTTTTTTTTTCTTTTTTTTTTTGTGAGGGCGGGAGGAATTTTGGTGTGACCTACGCACTCGCGGAGTGCGAGGTTGCGTGGCAGGTTCTTACCGCTAGATTGGTTGCAAAGGCCGTGGCATCGGCCGCTGTCACCCTAAAATTGAAAGTGAAAGCTCGTCGCGCGGCAGCGAGACACAGCACGTGGATGGCATCACTAGCTTGTCATACATGCGTCGCTTTGCATTGGTCCTATTTCTTGTGGGGTTTAGCAGTCATAAATCTCACGTAGACCATTCTCCGGTAAAACGGCAAAACTGATATCGGTGGTGTCATGCAAAGGACTCGTGCCACGAGTCCTCGTACGTGCAAGCTGGTGGAAACAGCAGCAACAACAACAAATTCTCTGGCTTGGGGCATTTGGTACTGGTGTCGCCATCTCGTTGAACCCATTGAAAATAAGTCTAACGAAAACGGCCCTATCAAATTTATTTACAGAAATACGCTAATACCAAGACATTTAGGCTTCCCCGTAAGGGTTTTAAAATTAAGATAGGAGACGCGTCAAGTACGTTTTGTCACTTTTGTGATCTCAGATATTTTATTCTCAAATTTTCTCGTAATCCGCTCAAACCAAACACAATGTTCATATTCCCGGATTTTATTTAAAATATTCAGCCCTCTGAGGAAAAAAATCCAAGGGTCTTACGAACTTCATTCTATCTTCATAATGAACCTAAAAAATATTCAATACTCTGGTGCATTCCTGCAACGCAGGTTTGTGTAGCGAAATTTTCCCATTGAGTGACGAGGGGGTGAATCCCCCTTTATACGCTAATCTAATTTCTTTTAACGGACAGATTTTGAGTTTGGGACTGCTGTAAAAGACTGAAAAATAATTGTCCCCTGCGTCCGCTCCCGCTTTCGCACCGCAGACTTAAAGCCAATTTCATATACATAAATTGGATCCTTGGATCAAAAGGGAATTTCATATAAAAAGACAATTTGGAACTAATCTACGGGGAAAATAAACCTGGGCGCCACCAAGAAAACAACCGAGGAAGGACAAACTGGGAAGAAGGACCCCGAGACCCCCACCCCCGCCGGACCCCGCACAGAAGCCATGAGTGTCTTGCACAGTTGGTTCGACGAGACCACAAGGCAACCATACTCAACCGAGCAGTCCCGCCGCAGTGATCTTTGCTATCCCACGATTATGTGTTAGGGGAGCCGGCTTCGGATTTTGGACGTCGTGTCGAACGCAGTCTAGTATGGCCTTGTTTTCATCTTCCCTGTTATTTCCCACCAAAAGATAAATGAAAAATACCGCTGTCGGTGCGTTCTCAACTTGTCCTTGCACCCATATGTGTTCCCGACACGTTTCAAATTTCTTGACCCATGCTTGCCCTTTCGGATGCAATAGTAAGCCCACACCTCCTACCCGTCGGTTGCCTTACACCCTGTAACACCCAGCCCAGCACCATGAAGGATCCCCGCGGCTCTTCAGCGTCACGCAAGTAAGTCTCAGCAATCCCAGACAAAGAGAATTGTTGTTCACTGCGCATTATATATATGCATCTCATTCCACTTCCGTTGACGCCTTGCACCATTCAAATTAAAAGAAAAAAAAAAACGATGACACTTGCTTTTTGTCTTGTTTCATCAGAAGGCAGCGGTACTTCAGAAGTCCCCAGTTTGCCTATTACCCATACCCCCTAACACTGCATTCCCGCCATTTGTTTGCGGACTAAGCGGTTCACCATTGGCGCGAACTCCAGCGCCGTCATGTATGCCTGGTGTTGGACGTGGCCAGGTTACAGGGGTGACTCTTGTTATGCTGGTGGACTCATTCTAACAGTTGACATTGGAGAA